GGTCACCTCAAAGCGTATATAACTGGGATCGCTGGCCAGCTCCCGGGTAGAATATTAGAAGCCTGGGAGTTTGGAAAAAGGCGTTGCTTAAGAGAGTTGAATGATTTATGCAGAATAACTGTTACTTGACTTGCGAGTGATTACTCGGCAGTAATCTATCCAAGGGGCTCGCATATCACCCCACCCCATAGACCACAAAGCCCGTGCAGCGAATCCGGCAATGAATTTTGCAGCCCCGCGATCGTTCCCGTGGCCCTCGCTACTGTTTACACTATTTGTTGTTTCAACGTGACGTGGCCTAGTCAGTTCTGTTTTGGGTTTGGCTGTGCTGGGAGTGCGGACACTGAGTATCCAGGCTGGGCTCCGAGTTCCCTTCAAGCACAAGTGACCTTCGCACGAGAACTACGGACTGCGGTGTGATTACAGGCAGGTTCGTTCGGAAATAATCCAGTGACTCGGAAACGGACATGAACGAACCTTGCAATTCACGATCCTGGAGCGCTTCACAGGATTTACTGCAAAGCGCAGCGACTGTGTGTTGTTGTGGGTGAACAGAATGGGGCATAGCAGTACAGTCGTTTCTGACATTCATCCGTGTACACATCGACACCCAAAGCACCACTGAACCCACAAACAGCCGTGGAATGAGGAGTGACTAATTTTATGTAGGTGCGGTCGTTGCCCAGAATACAGGGAGAAAGCAACTCCCTTCTTCTCTTTTCAAAACAGCGGGTTAAACCAAAGACTCACACGACCCGTTTACATTTTTGCCTCTTACACGGTATTAGAATTTTATATGGATGCAAACCGTGGACCTATTTGCTCCGGCTTGTGTTTCACTTGGCTTTTGAGAGCATCATTAGGGCAGTCGAACAATTCAGATTGAATGCGTCCCCGGGTTTGAATGCAGTAAATGTTGAGCCAAAGCCCTATTGTAACAGGATTAGCAAAACGCTGACCGCACAGTGAATTTTCTTTAAATGAACGGACACCAACAGGGGAAGCTTTGCTTAGTTGATGAAACTGCTCATTGCTAAGGAAATTGCTCAGTAACCAATGCGTCCTTTTATCCCACATTTGTTTTGGAAGCGGGACATTTCTGACATTCATTCACGTACACATCGACACCCAAAGCACCACTGAAGTCACCCAGGCTGGAGCAAACCTGGCCTTTGGATGAGACATTAAACCAAGGACCCATCTGTGTCTGTTCAGGTGGTTGTTGAAGATCCCATGGTGCTCTTGGTAAAGAGAAAAGGTTCCTCTGTGTCCTGGCTGATGATAATTCCCTCAGATAAAACGGCTCGCTGGCCACGTGGCTGTTTGCGGGACCTTTGCAGTGTGCAAACCTTTGCTGCCGCGTTCCACCACAAATACACAGTCACTACACTTCAAGGGTAAATCCTATGAAGCGCTTCGAGATGTCCCCCTGATGCGGAATGCAAGGACGGTTACGATTACTGCTCAGTCTCATCTGACCACCACAAATTAGATTTGCCTCAATTTGACCGCAAATTACAGTCAATTCACTTTATATATATAATATATAATATATATATATACTCTTTGAAGCGCTTTGAGGCAAATGTAAGGATTGTTATATCATTATTCAGATCCCTCAGTATTCAGTCAGCCGATTCCGTTATCTCCTTGAACCTCTGCTCCCAGCTCCTTAGTACAGAACCTTCCTTTCCCAATCGCTTAAGGACTTTTAACTGTTTATATTTAATTATTTGACAGTTACTCAGCTTGGGTTTGTAACAGGATGGCTGATTACAGAGCACTGCATCCACGGGCAACACTATCAGTAATACGTCAGATCAGGAACTCAAATGCAACCTAAATTTGTAAGTATTGGATCACGCCAGCAACTAGATGTGCGTCACTCTGACTGTCGGGAACTTCATACCAATGGCAACGGCTTCCGGTCGGGAGTGATGTGTTTCCATCACCATCTGGACGTGAGAGCCGTGTGTGAGTCAGCTTGGTTCATTCAGTGACCACCTTGCCTCTGGCTGAGAAGTTTCCAGACTCGAATCCCATGTTCGAGTGGGACTTGAGCTCGCTCGCACGCACTCACACACCCGCGCGCGCACTCACGCAGTTGACACTCCAGTGTAGCGTTGAAGGGGAGATGACCTGTCGGAGGTCCTTTCTGCCTGTTCGCGTGGACGTTAAGCAATCCTGTGGCACTCTTCAAATGAAGTACTTTTAAAACCTCGTGTTCCGGCTAGCAATTGTCCACACGTATCGGTCGTGGCTGTTCGTGGGGCAGGGTCTCGGAGTGCTTCACAGTGGCGGAGCCTGACCCCGAGCCGGGGGAGGGGGGAGGAAGGAGGTGACCGTAAGCCTCGGTCAAAGAGGAAAGTCTTCAGTCGTGATCTAAAAGAAGGGGATGGAGACGGGCGAGTTGGAGGAATTGGGGGAAGAGAGTTCCGAAGCTTCGGGGCGCAGTGGCTGGAAAGCGCAGCCCCCGATGGTGGAGCGGAGGGAGGGGAGAGCCAGCCGAGCAGGAGGGCTAGTGCAAGCATGGACTCAATGGGCCGAATGGCTTGTTGCTGTTAGAATCCTAGAATCTTACAGCGCAGAAAGAGGCCATTCGGCCCATCGTGCCTGTGCCGGCTCTTTGGAAGAGCTGCCTAATGAATCCCACTCTCCCGCCCGCTCTTCCCCCATATCCTTGCAATGTGCTCTAAGATCCAACACTGAATGCTGAGGCTACAGTAACAGCAGGTGATGCACAAGGCCACCGGCTCACTGTGCAGATTTTGTGCTGCAGTGGGACACGTGCCGGAGGAGACTTGCCTGTTCGGCAGCTTCATCCATTTCCACTTGTAAATTATTCAGGACCTCCAGAGCTCACTCAACCCCATACACACACACACACAGAGCTGCCAGGGCACTCACAAGGCACCACAACCATTCTCATTGGGAATTAAACCCATCTTTCACTGGTTTCTCCCCACACTCTTCTTTTCCTAAATTGCCGACTCAAGGTTTGGGCACGGGATACACTCTGTCCTTTGCCCAAGTGGCTGTTCTTCACATAGGAACGTATAGCAGCAGGTGGAGGTCTCTCAACCCTTTGGGCCTGTTCTGCTATTCTATTAGATCATGGCTGACCTGTACATCAACTCCCCAAACCCAGCTTTGCCCCATCCCTTAACACCCCGACGTAACAAAAATAAATGGTCACTTAATCCACGACTGTTTGTGGGACACCGCTGTGCGCAATTGGCTACCGCGATTCACTGCAAATATACAGTCAATCCACTTCATAGTATATTCTGTGAAGCGCTTTGAGATGTCTCGAAGACACGAAAATATCAAATAGATGAATTATTATTTTTATTATCTATCCACCTGTGTTGAAAATTTGAATGGATCCAGCCATAATCCACAGCCTTTTTGGGGGAGAGAGAGATCCACAGGCAAGCCAGGATAATGAGCTTGCCGCCAGCCGTCACCAACACCAGCTAATACAGGCCTGCTTCATGTCCTGTGTCTGATCCGGCCCTTTGGATCAGTCGGAAAGCTTTCAACCGTTCAACTCGCTGGAACTCCATCTCAGATTCCCAACCCGCCATGCCCCTTCCCTCACCACCTTAAGCCCTAGCTCTGACCGCACTTCTGGTCGCCTCCAGTGAGTACAATGAAGCCAAGCTGCGTGAAGTAAAAAAACTGGTTTAATACTTGAGAGTATGAAATGGGGGGGAAAAAAGGCGGCAGATCAATAATTAAAAGCTTTGTTCACAATCTTCTTGGGTACGAGTGAAGGTAGAGACGTGATCCGTAAAGGCAGCTGTTGTGTCGAGTGGTTCGGAACGCTTTTCAACCCGCGGTCCGAAGCTGTGTGTGTGTGGGTGGGTGGGCGTGGAGGGGCGGGGTGGGGGGTGGGGGGGGAAGAAGCATTAAAATCCTGGCTTCTTAACACAGAGTAAAGCCTGGCTTTATATTTTGGGTGAACCGATATCTTTTCACTGAAAGGAGAGGGAAGAAGGAGAGGGTGTGTGTTTGTGTACGCATATACGTCATAGTTCCTCCAAGCACACCGCGATTTAACAGGTATTAAAGGAATCCTCCTCCGCGCTTTCTTACCCCAAATTCAGGACAAGTTTAATTCTAACAGTGCTTCTATTGGGAGTGCGTCTCAACCTCCTCTCTCTCTCTCTCCCCCCTCCTCCTCCTCCTCCTCCTCATTCCACAAGCCGATTCTCTGGGAGGTGAATGGACACTTTGTAATGCAGGACTGCACTAAATTGTCCACATCACCTTGGCTCACAGCAGCGGGGAATCAAGCTGCTGGGAGCCAGAGTCACGTGTAGATATCTCCCCCCTCCCGCATCGATCTGAGTTTAACAGGCGGATTTGCAGACAAAGATAAGGACTTGTGCTGAATCCTCTACGCAGGCCTTTGGTACACAGGGAACACAGTTAATCCCACCCCCTTCAAATACGAGGCACTCTCCGTCTTGAGAAAGGAGAATATTATAGATCATTAAAGAACCTCTAGAAAGCTGGGGGGTGGGTGAGGGGGAGAAGTAACAGGAGTAGTACGGGCACAAAGGTAGAGAGGGAATGAAGGACAATAGCTTCTAATTTTACTTGCTGCACAAGCTGTTAAACTCTTGAACCTTCGCAGGTGAGGCAATAAGGGGAGGCTGCTCTGTAACCCGAGTGGCTGTTCTTGAAGGCTCAGCAGATCTGAAACCACCCCTTGAACAGAGGCGTCAGCCGGTAGAACTGACGTGAATACAAATTGTTCACAAAATGGCACCCGTTTCTTCCAGGGTATCATTCAGTGGTAAACTTGGGGGGGGGGGGGGGGGGGTTTCGAGGGAGGGAATGAAGAAAATGACTTAACTGAAAGACACGCAAAGTTAGCACATTTTCCCACTTCTAAAGCCAGTGATGTCTGAAGGAGGCTAGCGACACAGCCCAGAAACACACGTCAGTACTAACCGGGAGGAAGAGGGTGGAGGAAGGTGATAAAATACACCTTTACGATTGAGAAACATTTAATTCTGTCCCATTCACTGCCTCCCCCCACCCCCCCACCCCCCCCACCCTCCGCCCCAAGAAGCTGCCTGCCTGATTTGAGATGTCCGCTTTGATGTCCGTGCTTGTGAAATAGTCGACGGGTAAAAACCAAAATGTCCCCACGCAGATCACGCTCTTGCTCCCTCTCTGTCGGCGTCTGCACCTCCAGTTGGGAGCGAGCGGCTCGCACACGATCCCAGGTTCACCTCTTCTTGAAGCCGTACTTTTTGCGTTCGTAAAACAGGTCTGTTTTGGAGCTTCCCAGATTGACGATCTTTGGGCAGCCGTCTCTCTGCAACACAACGAGAGGGAGCGTTGGAAAAATAACAGCAGCAACAGCTTGCAAATTTACACGAGCATTCTCCAAACGTCAACAGGAATAAATAATTCATTGGAATTTTTGGTGCACGTTTGGTTTAAGCTGTGATGAGACCAACAACAACGGGACAGCATCACTGAGCGCTTAACAGTGACAGAACTCTACGCCGAGACACACGCGCGCACACATCCTTCCTTGTACCTGCCCCCTCGGTTCAGGTGGACGTTAAAGATTCCACGGCATTACTCGAAAGAATTAAAGAGTTTCTCCCAGCGTCCTGGCCAACGTGTTCTTTCACTTCATGGCTGTTACCGCGACGTTGCTGCGCGCAAATTGGCTGCCGTGTTTCGCCCGCAAAATACACGGACAATCCACTTTACAATGTATCCCGTCTTCAAGATATTTCAGCGACGCGATAAGGCGCTATATCCAATGCGAGGATTATAATTATTATAGTTTTATAATAAAACTTACATCCTTCTCTTGGATGGTGCACTCCTTGCAGTAATAGGCGTCGGACACGCCTGGGCCCCCACAGATCACACATCGCCCCTGGTAGGAGCCGTAGTTACACTCGTCGCAGATCCGGACCAGCGTGCACGGACGCACATAGGAGTCGCAGATGACACATTTGCCGTCACCTGAAAGGACAGACGAGAGAGAGGAAATAAAGCATTAAACCAGCAACAGGGGCTCAGCGATGAGAAAGATTTTGGCTGCCTCATTTCTCCCACATACAACAACAACAACAAGATTCCATTTATAAAGCGCCTTTCACGTCAGGAGGACGTCCCAAGGCGCTGCACAGTTGGGTCATGACCGAGCAGGGGGGAAATGGGAAGGAGGGAGCGAGGAGGGGGAAATGGTCAGGGTGAGGGGAGGGAAGGGAGGGAGCGAGGAGGGGGAAGAGAGTCGAGAGGGGAGCTGAAGGCTCGGTCAAAGAGAAAGGTCTTGAGACCGGCCTTGAAGGAGGAAAGGGAGGAAGCGGCGAAGGCACTGGAGGATAGAGTTCCAGAGCCTCGGGGCTGAGAGGCTGAAGGCCCGACCACCGATGGTAGGGCGATTGGGGCGGGGGACGTGGAGCACAAGTCAGTCAATCCACTTTCCAATCACAGTAATAGTACGAACCCGTTTGTTCGTCGAATGGCGGATCGCTTTTCCGGGGGTAATAAACCCGTTGAACACATAATAATAGTAATAGCAATTTGGTCACTCACTCCACTACTGTTTGTGGGGCACTGCCATGTGCAATTGGCTGCTGCATTTCGCCCACAAAGTCGTGGATTGAAGTGGCCAATTTTATTTTATCTTCAATTCATTGCAACACTTCCATGACCTCTTCTACCTGAGCCAGCCTGGATAGCAAGAGTCAGCAAGTTATTCAATGAGGGTTCCTGGGGCAAAATAGCAAGGGTCAGCGACAGTGATCCTTCCAAGGGCCAATTTTAGATTCCAACCTGCTGCTTGACTTGAGATCAGCTAACAGCACAAAAGGATTGAACTTGGGACCTTCCGGGTCTGTTTGCCTCACTCCCACAAAAATGCGCTGTTACTCACCATCTGGGCCCATAAAAATAATACTTGAGATTCATATAGCGCCTTATCAAGTCACCGAGACGTCTCAAAGCGCTACAGAAACCTTAGGCAAATTTCCTTAATCCATATATCGCTGTTTACCCAGCAGTAAGTGGGAACCAGGTTGTTAGTCAATTGAGGCATTGCTTTCCGGGTAATATTCCCTCCAAAAAAAAAGGATTATTATTATTATATGTGCGTTTAAACAAGTTTAACGGTCATATTGAAAGGGTAGGAGTGTGCTTTCAGAGAGCCAGCATGGATAGGATGGGTTGAAAGTCCTTCCACGGTGCTGTAAAACCTTTTGACTCTACGCTGTCCAACACTATGCAGTGCCACGAGAAAAAAAAATCTTTAGGTTTTTAAAAAAAAAGGTAGTATGTTTGCATTGGATCTCGCACTAGTGTTAAAATATTCCTGCTCTCTTTCCAAATACCTTACACAGGATCTTTCACATCCAATTCAACAGTGAGGTTTAACGTCTCATCTGAAGGATTCCATGGTTCTCCCCACTCCTCCCAATTCCCCCTTCCCCCAACGGGCGCACATGCACACAACTACACTGCAATATGGACCTTGGGCAGGAGTTCGAAAAGGAAAAAAAGTGCTACCATTGGCGGCCATGCATTCAGCCAATACTTTCCCAAACTCTGCAACTCTCTCCCTCGATTCCCTCCGCCTTGCCCTGCCTTCAGATCGCACCCGAAGACCTTCCTCTTCGACCGTGCCTCCCCTCTCCACCCCCCCACCACCCGGGTCGGCATTGTGCTCTGAAGGGCTCTGAATTTCCACCCCTCATGAAAGTCACTGTACAAATCCAAGTTGTTGCGGCAGTGGTGAAATTAATTAATTACAAGATCTCTCCGCGGCTGTGAACTTCGAACTTGCCGGGGCAGAGATTCAGGGCAGCTCCAATTAGCTCTCCCAACCAAGCGATTTGGATGGGTAATAAATCCGACAGTGAAAGGTTATGGCTCCTGCAATGGCTCAGCAAGTTGATTCAGCGAGCAGCTGAGACATATAGATAGGAACGTTTCCAGGTCCCAATTATAGGCTGCTTGAGTTAGCCAAGGTACCGCTAAGCGTGCTACGCTGGGCTGCAGCTGCTTGGGGGTGGTAAGAAAAACAGTCGTCAGCCAGTGTTCCCACATTGTGATCTCGAGAGGTTGGGTGGGAGTAGGTGTGGGTGAGAATAGGCTCAGGCTCACTCACACTCAGTCTTGGCTCACACACATACACGCTCGCTCGCTCACACACACACACACGCCACTACACTGGAGTCCAGGAGCTTAGTGACTAGAGCGCTCGCCACACACACGATTCCCGGCAGGGCGGGGCGAAACATTGGGCAAGTTTCTTTACTCCACATGCCTCTGTTTACCTAGCAGTAAGCATGAACCCGGATGTTATTCGATGGGCGGATCACTTTTCTGGGGGTAATAATCCCTCAATTTTTTTAAAAAAAAACTCATAATAATTTGGTCACTATCCACGACTGTTTGTAGGTACCGCTGTGCGCAATTGGCTGCCGCATTCTGCCCACGAAAGCAGACAGTGAATTCAACTTTACAGCGTATCCCGTGAGACTTCACAAAGACGTGATAAGGCGCTAAATCAAATACAAGGATTATCGTTATTACGCACATTCACATAAACCACACACACACACACACACAAAAGCAGTGCGTATAGGAGCTCAGTACAGCTCACTACAATAACAATTTGAGGTTGCGGTAAGAGCGGAAAGGGTTGCATTGAAAGACTGGGTCTTGCTCCTGTTATGCATTGACACCCAGGCATTTCCCAGCAGTTATAAATCAGGCACAAAGTGGAATAGCCTCGCTGTGTAAAAGGCCCGAATGCAAATCAGGGAGCCTGGCAACGCTACCCGGACAACAAGCCGACGAAGCCAATTCTTCCCCCCATATTGTTCAGGCCGCATCAAAGGTCCATTGGAATCACTGCAGCACGGAAACAGGCCATTTGGCCGGTCAAGTCTTCGCTGACGCTCACAGGATACACTGTTCGGGGGGAGCGACCCCGTTTTGTAAGCAAACGGCAAATAATAATCCTCACGGTTGATGCACGGCCTTGTCACGTCATCGAGATGCCTCGAAGCGCTTGCCTCACAGTGTAAAGTGATGCGCTCGCGCGGGCACAGTACGAAAGCTCCGGAGAAAGGAGTTGCTCCCTCCCTGCATTTTGGCTGCAAAGGTCAGTAGATTCTCAGAGGTGAAGGACCTTTCGGGGAAACGTTTCAAAGTTATCGGCGCAGGTTTATAATCTGCTGCTAGGCACCTGCTCGTTCGGGAACCTTTTCCTGCAACAGATCCCACAAATAAATACTTGGGTAATGGAGATATTAAAGAGCGCGGGACTAATAGGGTTAGGCCTAATAAACCAGTGGAACGGGCCGATGGTCTGAATGGCCTCCTCCTATTCTTGTTCGTTGGAACTCTCTGCCTCAACCCCTCCGCCTTTGTCCCCTCTTTGCCCGTCTTCAGATCGCACCTGCCTACGGCCATCTCCCCTTTCTCCCCAGCTTAGGGTCAGGCTCCACCACTGTTAAGCACTCCGAGACGCTACTCCACATGAAGGGCCACGACAACAAATTGAGTTTACGCAGAGCCTTTCACATCGGGAGGACGTCCCGAGGCGCTGGACAGTGAAGGGTCTGCACCCGAGCCAGGATAAATGCAAGTTGTTGTTTTCTTCAACACCTCATCCCCTGTACCTCTTGCGTTTGAAACAGATTGCTAGCTCACTCCACAGCACATCCCTCTCGAGGTGCAGAGTGCCACCGCAGCGATTATACATTAGCTTAAGGTTTGCTTTCGACCTTACAGCAAATAGTGTGTGTGTGTGTGTGTGTTCCCAGACCCTGTTTCAGTGCACGCTCTGGAAATCAGGGCTGGAAAATTCCACTCTGGCAGGCTGGGCAAAGTGACTGAGCAAACCTGTCCTCAACGCGGAGACAAAGGGGCGATTGATTGTGCAAGTCGAAAGCGTGTGAACGCCGGGGTCTGTTTAATCCTCCGTTTCTGCCTCTCGTGTGGGAAGACAAACGGCTTTTGCGACAACTTTACATAAACTTTAGATTTACACAGCGGCGGTTTCGGCGGGCCGGGGAGAGAGGAAAGAAGATTCTTTCAGCGTCGGGGAGATTTTACGGGCAGCAATGTTAAGAGAGTGCCACACCACGAGGCGAATTAGCCCAATTTGCAGCACCATTAATAGCTCACAGTGTGGCAACGCGGCCAGCCTTGAATTAAGTCGACAGGGCACACATTTAAGAATTAAAGGGGAGGTTAGAAACAGATTTTCACAGAGGGAGGCTGGAATGTGGAATTTTCTGCCACCGTTCTCTTTTTTAAAAAAAAAGGGAATTGGATAGATGCTCAAAGAGGCACGACATCGATAATAATGTCAATAATCCTTGCGTTTGATCTCGCGCCTCATCACGTCGACGAGACGTCTCAAAGCGCTTCGCAGAATACCCTGTAAAGTGGAGTGGATTGTGTGTTTTGTGGGCGAAACGCAGCAGTCAACGGCGCACAGCAGCGTCCCCGCTAACAGTCATGGATTGAGTGACCTCATTTTTGTTTTGGTGAATGTGTGCGTGTGTGTGTGTGCGCGCGCGCCTCTCTGTGTGCGCCTGTGTACATTTAAAATAAAGAGATTTTTTTTCCCCTTTAAAACACTTACATTAAAGGTTAGGTGAGTGGGAGAGGGCGTTCGGATTCGGTGACTCATGCTGAGGAACACACACAACCAACACCTCAGACTGGTTTGCTCAAAGAGCCTGTTTCTGTGCTGCACTATTTGTGTACCTGGGCTGGGTGGCTCAAACCAGGGCAGGTTCAGGAGCAACAATGAGTAAGATCTCAAGCCTCACACTCACGGCTCTGAAGATAAACGGCGATCCTTACGCTTGATACATAGCTCCTCACGTCAGGAGGACGCCCAACCCGCTCCACAGAACATATTGCAAAGCGTGGATTTTGTGGGCGAACTCTGCAGCCAATTGCGCACAGCAGTGCCCCACCAACAGCAGTGGATTGAGTGA